TTAGCTACATTAGCCTCGTAGCTCCTATACTAAAAGTAAAGAACTGACCAAACTATCACTTTCTGTGATGAAGCTGTTGTTGTTTACAAGCTGTTTGTTGTTGTTGTTGTTTGTTTGCAGGCTGCTGGCGGAGGAGGAAGAGAAGACGAAGGCTCTGCTGTCTCTGCAGGAGGAGCAGGAGGAGCTCCTGGAGCAGATGCAGAAGGAGAAGAGGGAGCTGAGGAGGGACATGGAGGAGAAAGCTCACGCTCTGGAAGAGGCTCACAAACAGCTGGAGAACATCCGCGCCACCCGACACAGGGTGGACCAGGACATCGCGGTGAGGGTCTTCCTCAGTCTCTGGGTCCTTTCTCTGTTCTCCTACGGTGGTCTGGCCTTTTAGAATTATCTCCCAAAGGAGTTCAGTGGAGATTCATCATTTCAATCCATTCCAAAGAGGTTCACTATAATCCCAAACTCACTCCAACTCATCCCGGATGAGTTCAGTGGATCTTCATTACTCCAAGTCATCCCAGAGAAGTTCCACTGCTCCACAGCCCAATGCTGGGGGGCTTTATATCCCTCTAGCCCACACTCAGCATTGGACATGGACACCTTATGTGTTGCTGCTCCAGAGTGTCCTATTCTATTAGTCAGTGCTTTTCCATAGAAATTAAGCTGTCAGTACTGAGTGACCTTGAAGTAGCTAAATGGGTCTGAATACTTTTGGACTTGGTATTTAATGAAATATCTGTGTATCTTCTCAGGCGGCCCAGAGGAAGCAGCGACAGGCCAGCACGAGTGTTAAACACTGGAACGTCCAGATGACCCGACTGATGCACCCCATCGGCCCCGGAGGTTCGTTTCTCACACTGCTGCCGTTAGTGGTCAGTTAAAGACGAAGTTTGGCCAAAAACACCAAAGAACCAGAGAACCTAAATCCCTGTTTTCTTTCGAAATATGATAATCTTGCTCTTGTGGGCCACAATATACATGTGCAAAGCATGTCCTGTTAATAATTTCACAATATCCACTAAATGGCTGATGTATTTTGCTAAAATTCTTCTCTTTTGCTGTAAAGTGGGTGGTCCTAATCTTGGTAATGTGTACCTAAGCAATATCCTCACCAGTCTCAAGGGTGATAAGGTTTGTCCCGCCCACACAGCTTTAACTAAACTCTGTTCAGTCTCTTTGTGTTCAAGTCAGAGAAACTTACAGAGAGAAGGCCACCAAGCGAAAGCTAACCACCAAGCGAAAACTAACGACCAAGCGGAAGCTAACCACCAAGCGAAAGCTTACCTAGCAGGGAAAGCTGAACTATCAAGTTAGCTAATTTTTCTCCTTTTGTTTGTTCATTCGACCGGTCACACCAGCATTCCCTGGATGCAGATCCAGCACTTACGTGTAAAGCAATACGCTTTGGGCTCAGTTGGCGTTGAGGTGAACTTTAACCTCACAGATTCATGAACCTTGGTAGCGTAAGCGAGTAGTAAACAGTAGACTGTGGTCTCATCTTTCTAATGAAAACCTTTCCATTCTAACAGTTTCAGGACATTCATTCATTTCGGAAAACAAACTCAGGGCTCTGAATGGCAAAACTGTCTAAGCACACATCCCGTCACTGTGAGGTTGAATGTTCGATCCCAGATCACTTGTTGTGATGCTAGTCAGTTTGGGAGTCTGTTAGCTGACAGAATTAGCAGTTAACACTCTCCTCCTAGCGTGTTGAGCTACAGTGACGTTGAGCTACAGCAGTTTTAAATGGAGGAAGAACGTTCTGGCCTTCAACCTCCCAGCATGGTAGCATTGCATGATAGAGGGAGACCTAAATTACTAAACTGGGGAGAAAATTGGGTAAAAAAGTTCGCTAACGCCAGCTGATGACTGAACAGCTACGTTCCCTCCAAAATCACATCACACCACACACCAGCGCCACCCACAGTCAGCTAATGTGCCCCCGTGAGGAGAACAGTGAGATGACAGTCCTTCACAGTCAGCTATGAGCGGATTTTGATCAGGCAGGGAAGCTAGCAGGTCACACGTTCATGCTAACGCGCTAATGCTTTTTGCTTTCTAGTAATTCTGTATAACATGTTTTAATCACAATAACAGCAACAGTGCTGCGTTCCAGAACATTCTCTCTCTAACGTCAGCCTCTGTTTCAGATCGGAGGGCGTCGGCTCCGGCCATGCGGGTGCCGTCTCTGGGGGACGGCGGATTTCCGGCCACTAGGGGCAGCATCAGAGAGACGGACATACACAACAGAGAAGGAGAGGGAGAGAGGGAGAACGGAGAGAAGCCTCGAGTGCTCCACAAAACCTACTCTGAACCCGTTTAGAGAAGAAGAACACGCGTTAAAGCGACAGTTCAGCAAAAACAATCGCAACGTAATTCAGTCCCTGTTTATAGTTAACAGAGAGTCAAACAGCGTCAGAGACCACATCATCAAGACTATTAGAGACACCGAACAACTCCACACAGTTTAAATTGAGCGTGGGATGCTAATTGGTGGGATATGAGCCCCCATTACCCGTTAGCTTCATTAGCCTCGTAGCTCCAGTGCTAAAACTAAAGAAGCTAACTTCAGACTCCAAACACGTCTCGGCTGATTGATTATATGAGGAGTCTGGTGGCTGGAGGAATTAGATTGTTTTGCTGAACTATCGCTTTAATCACATCTCTGTATTATAAATGCTCCAACAGGCTGTCAAAGTTCTTATATGTGGAGAACACAGCTGTTCAAAAGTTTGGAATCACCCGTTATATTAATCATTTTTGGTGTTTTGTTGAAGGATAATAAAATGTACAGTGTATCAAAATTTATTTTTAGATGTTTTATTCAATATTTCAGTCGATTTGATAAAAACATTATTCCTTGATTGATAATATGCTGTAATAATCTGTTTATAGTCTTTTCTGTCATGTTTTATCATCACTTCTGACCATTTTTGAAATAATTTACACTATAAATGATCATGAAGCGCATCAGATTAACATCATTTTATATATTATATTTACAATATTGGTTTTAATTGTTGAAAACAGTGATTCCAGGCTTTTGAACAGTGGTTTAAGTCTAGTTTTGGATCAAATTCTCACTTTAATAGTGATTCACCACTGAAAAGTGTTTTTGTTTCTCACTGAAGTTTGACGCAGCTCTGGAAAACGCGCTGTAACTGATTCACACTTATGAAAATTTCATTTCTGGAACGTCACCAGTGTAAAGTTCTGTACTGCATGACTGAAATCTAAAGAGACAATAAAAATAAAGAATCCGGAGCCGTCTGTGGAGTTCGTGGCCTTGTTTTGTCCTGTCTGAGGTGGACTTCGTGCTCTTGAGTGACCACAGCGTCCACCTTCATCATCATGTACTCTGAGTTTGTAATAACAGTTTGAAAAATGCAGAGAGGTAAGAAGAGTTTGGGTGTGATATGATCACTTTCTGTGGTTTTACTTCCTGTTTCCTGTGCCTCGACTCGACAGTCAAAAAGAAACAGAAATTTATTTACGCCAGAGATGAGCTCATTAATATGCAAATACATTCAAAGAAATTTACAGTTTACATTCAAGCAGAAAAGTGAATTGAACTGAATTTAGCAGAAACATCAGGAACCCTGCAGCTCAGAGGAGCCAGAGCAACATTACATTCAGTTCATTCATCACAGAATTTCATTAAATACTTCAGTACCGAGTTATTGGTGCATTTATGATGTCATCGTTTTGATTTTTTTTATCGTCCTTTTAATTCAATAGTTTTGTTTTTATATAAATCAAAGAGACAAAAACAGTTTGAAAAATGCCTGCTCTGACTAAATGTGCTTTATTTGGTGAACACTGCCACCTTGTGGACGCACCGGAGAACTGAGGAGGAAAGTAGAATAAAGTTCCTAAGCACTGAATTAGAAACATTTGCTTAGTTTTATGCAAATAAATAAAGTAAAATAATATGTGTGCATGAATAAGGGGTCTCAGACGTTTGGTTTGAGACCCCCCTCTCTTCATCTTTTTTATTTCCAGTTAAAAGTGTTATTAAGTATATATACATATCGCTTGACATAATTTGAAAAACACCTGTTACCCTTTACATTGTGGGTAAATTTCATGCTCAGTGGACCAACAGAAATGGCCAAAAATGACATGGGAAGTCTGGCTCCATTGACTAACATTATAAGTGAAGTAGGTTTTTTCCTTCTCTTGTAAAGTTCTCATTTTGGAGATACGAGGTTTTGTTCTGACAGCAGTGATACATATACATACATACATATACACACACACACACACACACATATATATATATATATATATATATATACATACATATGAGAAGATAAGATATTAGATAATTCACTTGCATGATGAAGGAGGAAGTCAAAGTAAAGTATGTTAAAAAACAGGAGTTTCCAAAACAGATTAAAAGCTCCAGAGAAAATGGCCGCACACTGAATCACAATCTGATTTTCTGCAGTTATCAGATTATTAAATGCATGTAAACACACTCAATGATTTAATTCTGATGGTTTTTAACGACACACTCTGATTGGTTACAGCCGTCTAGTTCACTGCTCCCTCCTAGAGACTTTGCTATTGTTATTGATGCCGCCCCATCAGGTGTTACGAAGCTGTTTAAAAGCATGATCGGACTTCATCCAGCCTTACTGCCTTCAGACCCTGCAGTCACTGATATTGGACAGATATGTTTTTGTCTTCGTGAGCAGATTAGTAACTGCAGAGTACAGGCTTTGTTTCAGAAGGAAGCAGTCTTGGTTCCACATGTACTGTCTTGTTAGAACCACTGTATGAGTGACCTTAACTGAAGGAATATTTGGAATTTGCCCTCAAAATACTTAATAAAGTGAAAGAAGTGTCTTTTAAATTTTACAGAACTTTTACCCCTTAAAGCTTTTTGTGAGGATGTGAGGATGATACAGACGTAGCTGCTCTTTCCGTGGTTTAAATCCTGAGAGTGTTTTGCTGATTTTGGATCTTGTACAGGAAGCTGAGAGTAACTTTTCTCTTTGTTTTGAACATGAGCTGTTGGTTTTCATGAAGATCTCCACTATCAAGGCAGGTAAACACTGTATAATCAGTCTTATTTTATTGCTGGCAAAAACATATTCCATCCATCCATCATCTAAACCGCTTATCCTTCTGGGTCACGGTGCAAAAACATATTCATAAATGTAAATATTCAAATTAAAAGCTATTTAGTTTGATCTGTTAATGAAACCAAACAATACCTGAAAACAGTTCTAACAATAAGAAAGCTGTCCGAACACTGAAATGAGATGAATCTTTAGATATATATCATTAACACAAAGCTGAAATCGGCTTCTAAACCTCCAGCTTCTTGTTCAAATTTTCCCGTTCCACCTTAAATGGTGCAGCAGTTATAAAGCCAGCTGCACCATTTAAGGTGGAACGGGAAAATGAAGCAAACTTCAGCCTCATATTGTTAACTGTAAACTTGATCTGAATATGAGCTGTATAAACGTTATACTGACATGCTGTCTTCCTTGACTGGGGGGTACAGGTGCCCTACAGGCAGCGTGAGAGGCTGTTGGGGTCTCGGTTATCGGCGGATTCAGCACCGTGATTAAACAGAGGCTGATCAGATTCTCTGGTTCAGTTAAATCAGAGAACGGTTTATTAGAGCCAGTTCACATTTTAAGAACATCAGAACCTGCATTTCTTACATATTGATCACTTTTACACACATAATGACACCAAAATTAGCCAGATAACAAATTTAGCTTGCACATTTTGTTACTGCCTCACCGCCCAGCAAACATGGTTATGTTGTGACCACCTGTTGTTTTGGTGCCCACAGCATTGCCACAAGGTTGAAATGAAATTCTTTAGAAAGGTGTGACCTTATCTGACAACACTGTGACAGCACAGTGACAACACAGTGACAACACAGTGACAACACTGTGACAGCACAGTGACAACACAGTGACAACACAGTGACAACACAGTGACAACACTGTGACAGCACAGTGACAACACAGTGACAACACTGTGACAGCACAGTGACAACACAGTGACAACACTGTGACAGCACAGTGACAACACAGTGACAACATTGTCAGTTCGCTGCCACAGATCCTAGAATCCTTCGTCAGTCCCATCATCCCAGCAAACACACTGCATTGTCACAATGTTGTCAAGAGGTGGCGCTGTTTACATTGTCTGAACAACATTGTCACAACCTCATTCAGTGACGTTGCTGTTCAGTGTTACGACTACTTATAGTCAACTCAGCAAAATTCCATGGAGTTCAATTCACAACGTAATCTACACTGCAAAAAATGGCGCCTGGTCAAGAGAAATGATCTCAAATCCAGTCGATTTAACCAATATTTCCCATTCTGAGATGGTTGTGTTCTTATTATAAGGTCATCTGGCTCCAGACATTTTTACTTGTTTTGGGTCATTTTATTTAGTAAAATTATCTCATTATACTGGCAGATAATTTTACTGGTTTCAAGCTCTTTTTTACAACAAGCACAATTATCTTCCAACATAGTGAGATTTAATAAAATCACTTAAAACAAGTACACAAGTCTAGAAATGAGGTAAATAATCTTAAATGAAGTTTACAGCGATCTCAACAGGAGGAATATGAGGTTTATCGACTACATTTAAGACTATTTTACTTGACAAAATACCATGTTTTGCAGTGTAGGAGGCCGACAGCGTACTGACAGCGTTACCGCTGCGCTGTCACAGTGTTGTCAGATGACATCACAACTTTCTGAGAATTACATTTCAACGTTGTGAAAGTGTTGTGGGCACCAAAACAACATTCTGTCACCACATTATTACAGCATAACTGTGTTATAATAATCTTCTAATTTGCCAATAAGTAGCCACAACACCACAACGGTACTGAGTGACGAGGTTGTGACAGCCTTGTTCAGACAGCATAAACAGCACCACCCAGCAGACACTGTTACGTTGTGGCCAGCTCTTGTTTTGGTGCCCCCAACATTGAAATGTAATTCTCAGAATGTTATCTGACCATATTGTGACAGCGTAGTGGTAACGTTGACACGGCCTCCTAGAATCCTCACTGGTTCCATTACATTGTGAATGAATCTCCATTGAGTTGCCAGTAAGTAGCCACAACACCGTACAGCAACATTACTCAGTAATGAGGTTACGACAGCCTTATTCAGACAATGTAAACAGCGCCACCTTTTGACTATGTTGTAGCAGCACTGTAAGAGAGTCGACATGGTTCTGACAGTGTTGTGTGTTTGTTGGGTGCTGGTTACACTACTGAACAAACTGTGGAATGAAAATGACCGTCTCATCATCCACACTGCCTCCAGTCAGTGTCGGGAAAGCTGCTCCTTTCTGTTTGAGTCCAGAGCTGTAATAAACACAAATTTCAGACGAGTCGGTAATAAATCACCTCACCAATTAGAGCCATTTTGATGTGGTCTGGCTATTTGAATAATCACTTACAGTAACAGAACGTAGAGAGTGACCGCTCTCCCTCCTGCACCCAAAAACTGAGTGTTTGTAAATGAGCACCATCCTATCAGCTGTACCGTTACTCCAGTAGAGCGATGAGGAGTGTGTGAGGAGCGGGAGGGTCAGCTGACTTCACAGTTCATGAATATGCAGAATAGGGTACTTTATGATTCTCTGTGGTCAGTTAGTGCTGCCTGTGGCGTTTGAGATCAAACCAAATAAAGGGTGATTCCTAGGTAGTGGTCAGGGGGCAGAGGTCAGTTAATGCCCTCTGCAGTCCCCAGTAAACGTTGGGCTGAAGCAGAAGTATGAAGATATTCACAGCCCTGCTGATGTAACGGTCTGGCTCAGGAGGTCAGACGCTGTGCTGGGGCTTTAGTATGAAATAGTGCTGGGTGTTGATGGTTAAACACCTGTAAAGCTGCTCTGCTGATGAACTCACTGTAACCCTGTTTGTCTCCTGTGTCCCGAGTCTGTGGGTTGTTCGTTAGATCAGTGTGTGTTTGCTGAGGGTCTACAGGCCGCAGGGCCGGACCTCCGTCAGCCTCTGAGAGCTGCAGAGTACGTTATGCAACCTTAAAGCAAATGTTTACTTTCTTTATTTACTTGGACAGAAGCAGAAGAGCTGCTGCAGAGAAACTGCCGTATCTGCAGTTTAACGGGTGCAACGTGGGTAAAATCACTGATCCACTAATCTACTAATCCACTAAACCACTAAACCACTAAACCACACAGACAAACTCAGGAGAATCAGCATAATATGAATAATTCATAGTAGATACTGAATAATTAATGCTGAACCAACACAATGGAATGAGACTAAACTCAGAAATGAGTGAGATGTTAATGAGTAAACAGTCGATTCCTCTCTGATGTACTGCAGCATATATAACAGTAATATCAGTCTATAACATTAATGGAGCTGTACGGGGTGGGGTGAGTAGTAATAAAGACAGGTTGTTCAGTAAAGTTTCTCTGAGTGTAATAAACTCCGGATTTGCTGACTCAGTAAAGCAGCAGCTGAACTGCAGGACATTATTAACCTTTAACATCCTCCACCTTCAGCTTCAACAGAGTCAGAGAGCCTCACGGCACAGTGACACTCAGACTGACGCAGATCCGATCCAGTAATCAGACGCTTCCCATTCACACACTCACTGAGATGCTCTTCAGCTCAGGGACGTAAGTGTGTTTATGCTGCTGTAATAAACGTGTAGTAGACGGTGTAATACAGCTAAGGAGACGCTTCACGATGTGCAGACTGGAGCTGTAGCAGAGCAGAACGAATGGCTAGAATATTAAATATAAACATACAATAATACTTATTGTCTAAAATCAAAAACACTATTTTGGCTACCGGAAGTCTTTAATTAGGAGCTAAATTCAACGACAAATTTGTATGTTAAAATAAATCAGTAATAAAGTATTTACTCCAAATAATATTTAAAAAAAAATATCACATTTTAACATTTCTGAAATAATTTAATAGTCGAAGTGATGACCTGCTTAGCGTCCAGCGGCATGATTTACGGTTATAAACCAACAGTGTAAATAATAAATAGATCATTCTTCTTCTTATTATTATTATGATTATTATTAATAATAATAAACATTTTTAACAGGTCTGACGGTTATCTATTTGTTATTGTTTCGTATTATTACTTTTACAAACGTGGAAAACAAACAAAAGCGAGTGGTGGGTGAAAAGGCCGCTGACGTCACTGCGCTGACGCCGCTCTGACGCCGGGAGAGTGCGCGCATGCGCGCTGCGGGCCAGATTAGTCTCTGGTGGATTAGCGCTGAGTGGAGGAGAATGGAGAGCAGAGCGGAGCGACGGTGCGGAGGAGCGGAGGGAGCCGGACGGAGGAGCAGAAGGAGGACATGCTGCTACTGAGAGAGGAGAGGAAAAGGAGCAGAAGGATTGGAGAAAGGAGGAGGAGATCGGGAGCTGCGGGAAAAGCGTTTTTACTCCTGCTTTTACTTCTGCTGCTGCTCATGAACTTGGACTACAGAGCTGGACAACTGAGTTCTGACCACAGAGACACCGACTGACCACTCCAGCCGCTCCAGCCCGGCTGTGTTTCTGTTACTGAGGCAGGTACGTTCTGAGAACATGACTAACCATCTCTGATCTGTCCACCATCTCTCCTTCTCCTCCTTCTCCTTCTTCTCCTTCTTCTCCTCCTGTTGTCCACTAACTGTCCGAGTGTTGTCAGAAGTGTGTTTTCCCCTCCTGCCTTCAGAGCAGCGGAGCCCCTGGAGGACAGCAGGAATTCAGAGTTTAGCCCTCAGGCTGACCTTCCACTTACTTTCAGCACAGTCCTCACAGACCACTGACCGTCCAGCCTTAACATGTTCAGCCATGGTAGTACCCATATGGGCCATATGGTGTAGAGGGGGGGTGGATTGTTGTTGTTGTTGTTGTTGTTGTTGATTTGCTGTGTCTGTGAGGGATTAATAAAGCAGATGGCCTTTAAACTGTCCAGAAAAGTCCACTCAGGCAGTTTAGTAAACAAAGACAGTCCAGCGCTGCTTTTAAGGAGTTAAACTACATATCTGTTGGCGTCACTCCTGGACTGACCGCTCACAAACATCCTGTGTGGTCAGCGAGTTAAGGTGGGATTGTTTTCTAGCGTGTTAAAGCAGCCATGAAGTGTCACATCTGCCAGCTGTTAAATCAACATGATGACCAGATCAAACGCGCCGGTCTGTCTTTGCTGAAGGACCGAATGCTGAACGTCCAGCAGACAAAAAGCTGCCCAGAGATCTGGGCCAGTTTAGACTGGACTTTGAAATGTTTTTGTTTTTCTCCTTCGTCCTCTCGGAGGGTCACTCACCTTTTGACGTACAAACTGACCGCTGTGTTAACAGTCCAGCTCTCAGAGACGCTTCACTCCAAGGCTGAGTTCAGTTAATGTGAATGTTTGTGTCCGAACTAAAGATCCAGGTGATTAACTGGAGCAAAATTAGCTAAACTGGACTCACTACTGTATTCATTTAGTTCATCAGTGTTCATTTAATCTGATTTAATATAGAGTCTTATTAAAGTTATGGTCAGTGTCTGTCATGGTCAGTGTTTGTTATGGTCAGTGTCTGTCATAGTCAGTGTTTGTCTGTCATGGTCAGGGTTTGTCTGTTGTAGTCAGTGTTTGTTATGTTCAATGTTTGTCTGTTATGGTCAGTATTTGTTATGGTCAGTGTTCATCTGTTATAGTCAGTGTTTGTTGTGGTCAGTGTTTGTTATGGTCAGTGATACTGTGGTCAGTGTTTGTTATGGTCAGTGTTTGTCTTTTATGGTCAGTATTTGTTATGGCCAGTGTTTGTTTGTTATGGTCAGTGTTCGTCTGTTATAGTCAGTGTTTTTTATAGTCAGTGTTTGTTATGGTCAGTGTTTGTTTGTTATGGTCAGTGTTTGTTGTGGTCAGTGTTTGTTTGTTATAGTCAGTGTTACTGTGGTCAGTGTTTGTTGTGGTCAGTGTTTGTTTGTTATGGTTAGTGGTACTGTGGTCAGTGTTTGTTATGGTCAGTGTTACTTGTGGTCAGTGTTACTGTGGTAAGTGTTTGTTTGTTATAGTCAGTGTTACTGTGGTCAGTGTTTGTTTTGGTCAGTGTTACTGTGGTCAGTGTCTGTTATGGTCAGTGTTAGTTTGTTATAGTCAGTGTTACTGTGGTCAGTGTTTGTTATGGTCAGTGTTTGTTGTGGTCAGTGTCTGTTGTGGTCAGTGTTTGTTATGGTTAGTGGTACTGTGGTCAGTGTTTGTTATGGTCAGTGTTTGTTGTGGTCAGTGTTTGTTATGGGTGCTTGTTGTGGTCAGTGTCTGTCCGGCTGGCTGTAGTACAGAGTGTGAATGAAGCCTGCTGGTTGGCTGTGTTTTGTCTGAGCAGATTCTCTGTAGGAATCACTGCTTTAACTCTCGGCTCTTCTGTAGCGCTGAGGGAGCTGTGGGTTGCCATGTCTTCATCACTTCACCCACTTAAACTCCAGGCTCACACATGACGTCCACTGTAGTTACTGGACATTTCATTGCAGATACTGACTCAGATACTGAGTAAAGGTTCCTGTTTACGCTGTAATCATCTCCATAGTTACGCAACACCCTTTACGTGGCTATGCTCCGCCCATTTCTGTGGTTATCTGTTTCAGCGGTCAGTCCACACTCATTTTTGTCCATAGTTACGCTGGATGCTAACCATGGACGGGCGTGTGGAGTAACTATGGACATATTTGTTGGCTACTTTCGTTTCAACGGTTGTGCTACACTAATTTCAAGGGTTATGCTGTTCCCATGGTTACGAGCCTGGTCCACACCCGTTGTGCACCTTCATGGGGTCTCCAGCAGTGGCCCGCCCGGCCGTGTCCTCCGTCTGACGCACTCAGCAGTTTCACTGATCGTCACCTGATCGACTGCGTGGTGATGTCAGCGGTTACTCAGTGCCGTCTGTCTGCGCTGCTGCATGCTTTAGCTGTTCAGTGTCAGAGTGGGGGGGGCGTGGTGGGGGGGTTCCTTCCTTCCTCTGAAGCTCTGTTTAACTGTCTCTCACTGCAGACTGGGTGGTTTGGCGGTGTGAGATGTTGCGCAACCAGTCTGTCACCATCTGCCTCAGTACAGATGAAAATACAGAAATACTCTAAATCAGGAAAAAATCGTCACCACGCTGACCGAATCACTGCAGGACGCAGCACTGACCGGGGTTTCATTCAGACGTGCTTTTACGAACCTTCAGCGGAGAAGAGAGTCGAGTCGAGTTTCCATCCACTGCAGTGCTGTGAAGAAACTTTAGGTGGCGTAGCTACTGGGATCAGGGGCATCGAAACAAGCGAGACCGAGAGCTTAACTGGGTTTAGTTTTTAGCTGAATCATCTTCACAGCCGTTTTCTGTCTTTTTGGCCGTTTTGTTTGCAGCTCAGAGACACCAGAGACAAACACACCGGACGGCTCTCGAGCTCACTGTGCAGAGACGTTTTCAAACCAGCTCTGATCAGCGTTTCAAAAAGCTCTGTGCTGCAGTCAGACCGTCTAGGAATCACGGAATCATGTGACTCACAGCTCGATACGTCATTGATATTCAAAAAAAACCCTTTTCCATCACTTTTTTACATTTTGGCTTCAGCAATATTCTTTTATAATTCACAAAAAACTGGTAAATAGAGCAGCTTAAACCAGGTTTCAGGAGTACAAGGAATTAATTATGTATATATATATATATATATATATGTACTTATCCACACAGATACAGTATTTACAGATAAAAGAATTGAGCAGCCAATAAAGACGTTAGTAGACTTGTAAAATATGTATATTGAGGTAAGTTAAAGTGGGGATGTGCTCTGACTGCAGTAACGTGGGAAAGGTTGTTATTCGGAGGGCTGGTGCCGTGAGATATACAGCGGCTATGTATTCAGCCCACAGCCGTTTAGCCCCGCCCATTCAGAACGGAGCTCATTTACATATATAAGTGTGTTTTTGTTAGATACACTGAGAGGGTTTGGTGGTTCCGGTGTTTGTGGCTCGGCTCGGTTCTGTGTGCTGAGTTAGGTGGTGATGTCAGTGTCGGTGCTGTTACTGAGTTAGAGACACTCAGAGCTGCTGAGTCAGCGTTACAGCACAGTCTCACTGACTGAGCGTCTGATCAGAGATAAATTCATCACGAGGGACCTTTAAACGTCTGGAGTGACTGAACAAATCACACCTCACACCTTATCACCCTCAATACGGCGCTCAGAGACGGACAACCTACAGCTGCAGCATTAAAAAGATCATGAATTCAGCAACTAATATGAATTATTCAGTGTCTACTATGAATTATTCAATGTCTACTATGAATTATTCAGTGTCTACTATGAATTATTCAGCATTTACTATGAATTATTCAATGTCTACTATGAATTATTCAGTGTCTACTATGAATTATTCAGCATTTACTATGAATTATTCAGCATCGACTATTAATTATTCAATGTCTACTATAAATTATTAATTATCTGTTCTGTATTATTCAGTATCTACTATAAATTATTTAGTGTCTACTATGAATTATTCAGGATCGACTATGAATTATTCAGTGTCTACTATAAATTATTCAGTGTCTACTATGAATTATTCAGTATCTACTATGAATTATTCAGTGTCTACTATGAATTATTCAGTGCCTACTATGAATTATTCAGTGTCTACTATGAATTATTCAGCATTTACTATGAATTATTCAGCATCGACTATTAATTATTCAATGTCTACTATAAATTATTAATTATCTGTTCTGTATTATTCAGTATCTACTATAAATTATTCAGTATCTACTATAAATTATTCAGTATCTACTATGAATTATTCAGGATCGACTATGAATTATTCAGTACCTACTATAAATTATTCAGTATCTACTATGAATTGTTCAGGATCGACTATGAATTATTCAGTGTCTACTATGGATTATTCAGGAACGACTATGAATTATTCAGTATCTACTATAAATTATTCAGTATCTACTATGAATTATTCAGGATCGACTATGAATTATTCAGTATCTACTATGAATTATTCAGTATCTACTATGGATTATTCAGTGTCTACTATGGATTATTCAGTATCTACTATAAATTATTCAGTGTCTACTATGGATTATTCAGTATCTACTATAAATTATTCAGTATCTACTATGGATTATTCAGGATCGACTATGAATTATTCAGTATCTACTATGGATTATTCAGTGTCTACTATGAATTATTCAGTATCTACTATGAATTATTCAGTATCTACTATGAATTATTCAGTGTCTACTATGAATTATTCAGGATCGACTATAAAATATTCAGTGTCTACTATGAATTATTCAGTGTCTACTATGAATTATTCAATATCTAATATCTGAGTATGCCACTTACTATTATTGAGTATGTACTCTGTATTATTGAGTATGTACTCTGTATTATTGAGTATGTACTCTGTATTATTGAGTGTGTACTCTGTATTATTGAGTATGTACTCTGTATTATTGAGTGTGTACTCTGTATTATTGAGTATGTACTCTGTATTATTGAGTATGTACTCTGTATTATTGAGTGTGTACTCTGTATTATTGAGTGTGTACTCT